CTCATCCCGTGGCTCAAACATGGCTGACACTAGCCTCAGCTTCCCAGGACTACAGGCCTTTCCACATCCAGCTTGGATTGTCCAGTTAGTCATTTTAGACCACAGTGTTACAGAGACCCCAGAGAGTGAAACCCAGAGGAAGGGATGAGCATGTCTGCTCGCCGTGCCCTCGGCTGGCAGTGGGTTGCTATGACACCTCTGGGCTCTGGAACACTGGACACGTGCAGGAAAAGTGTTGACTGAGCTCACTAGGGAAACCTTTGGGGGCTGTTCTGAGTAAAAGGTCTTCACGGCGTCTAGAGGTAGCGGCCACTATATTCAAATTTTGTTTTTGTCTTTAATTCTGTATCCATGTGTGGGTGTGTGACGGTATGGGAGCAGATGCCCCAGGAGTCTGAAGAGAGGATCAGGTTCTCTGGGAGCTGGAGTCACAGGCACTCCACTGCGTTCGGGTGCTGGGAACCAAACCCTGATGCTCCCTCCCAAAGAGCAGCCAGTGAGCCGACTCTCCAGCCCCCGGTTTATCTCTTATTTGGGTCTTGCCCTCTCAGTGCCCCTGCCTGGGCCTTCTGAGTTCTGGGATTAAGACAGAAACCACGTCTCATCTTTATAAATCTTACAGTAAGCATTAACACTTTTTACATGTATTTATTTTGTGTGTCCACAAGGGCCATAGCATGCGTTTGCCAGTGTGTGTGTGCATGCACTCACACACATGTGCTCACATGCATGCACACAATACCGTAATATGCATGTGGAGGTCAGAAGACAGCTTGCAGGAGTAGGGTTCTCTGCCTCCGCCATGTGGGCACCCGGGATAGAACCCCAGTTATCAAAGCTTGGTGACAAGAGCCTTTGCCTGCTGAATCTCCTCAATGACCCCTAAAGCACGCTCTGTTTACTGAAAAAGCTCCCTTTTATTTCTTAATCTCAGCGAGAAAGTTGCCATGAGATGGAATCTGAGGATGAGGTTTATAAAACACCGGGAGTTTCCCAGTTTCCCTAAGTGCTATTAGTTTGCCTTCCAGGACTGCTGGTGACACAATGTTTCCCTTAGGGCCCGTGCTGGGACTTTGTACCCTCTTTAAGTCTTATTTGACGTCCTTAAGCTATACAATATACAATATACAATACCCTCCCCAGAGAGTTTTGGCAAACAGAGTTGTCGTTTTGGCTTTGCTGTTCCAGAACTCTGGGCAGCCTGTATTTTTTTTTTTTTTTTTTTTTTTTTTTTTTTTGGCTGCACTCCTCGGTGAAGACCCTGCAATGGAGTGCATCCCTAAAGTACTCCCTCCTGTGAGGAAGGCTGCCCTCTCCCGTCCGGAGAGGCTGCTACCAGGAGGAGGAATTAGCAATGTGTCAGAGCACTGCTTCAGCCGCCAGGGATCTTCCTCCCACAGACTTGCTCGCGGCGGCCACGCATGGTTGCACAGTTTGAGCTCTGCAAAGGGAATAAGAAATGAACGAGTCATCCCTGCAAACTCACCCACCCTCTATCCTACATCCAGCCTGTGTCTCCCCAGAAATTGTGTTTGAGGGTGCCATGAAGCCTGTATAGACAGACTGGAGCAGATAGCTCACTCGCTCTTGCTCCTTGTGTGAACTGACCCACCCTGTGAAGAAACTCATTGAATCAGTTGGACATCCTCTTGCCATTTAAGAGTCTTACTCTGAAACCCTGGCAATTAAACTTAGACTGTGAGAGCCGGACGACGTCACGCACTCTCAGGCTAGCAGAGTTGAATTGGCGATGGGCAGGTTTGCTGTGAGCTGTGTATGTAACCGAGAGGCTTCTCTGCTCCCAGACCACTTTGCTCTCGTTTCCTGTGGCCCAAATTGGCCTGGACCTTGCTGTGTAGTTGAGGATGACCTTGGACACCTGGGCCACTCTTCTCCACCTCTGAAGCACCTAGCTTGATGTAACCCTCTTACTGGACCCCTAGCCTACCAGGTCCACCCCAGGTGCCATTGTTGTACAGTGACACACGCCATTCCAGGGGTGTGGTTTAAGGTGTTCCATATATAGTCTTTTTTTACTTAAGAAGAAGGGCATTTATTTTAATATTTTAGGAGAAAGGAAATGACAATTAAACCCTGGTTTCTTCGGATATTAATATATATGAAAAAGCTAATATATTTTGGGTGTGAAAAGGAAATTAATGTAAAGAAAATATTGAGTAACATATATGTTAAAGAGTCTGAGTTAGCCACCTAGGCAGTGGTGGCGCACACCTTTAATCCCAGAACTTGGGAGGCAGAGGCAGGCGGATCTCTGTGAGTTTGAGGCTAGCCTGCTCTACAAGAGCTAGTGCAAGGACAGCTAGAATTGTTACACAGAGAAACCCTGTCTTGAAAAAAAAAGGAGTTTGAGTTAGCCATTCACAATGTGTATATTTATTTAACTATCAGATGTATCCCATGGATATATACAGTTTTGCCTTTTAAGAAGCCAAAACAAGAAAAGCCACCAGAGATGGTTCAGTGGTTAAGAGCGCTTGTTGCTCTTGTAGAAAGGCCTCGATTTGGTTTTCAACACCCACATGGTGGCTCACAGCCCTCTGTAACTCCAGGTTCCAGGGGTTCTGATGCCCTCTTCTGGCCTCCTAGGGCACTACACATATGTGGTATACAGTATACATACATACAATCAAAGGAACTATTTCTACACATTAAATATATATCTATATATATATGTGCGTGTGTATATATATGTGTGTATGTGTGTGTATATATATATATATGTATATATATATATATATATATATATTTGCTTTTCAAGAAAGGGTTCTCTTGTGTAACCTAGCTGCCCTGGAACTCACTCTATAGACCAGGCTGGCCTTGAACTCAGAGATCTGCCTGCCTCTGCCTTCCAAGCACTGGGACTAAAGGCGTGCACCACCACTGCCAGGCTAAATTAAAAACATTCAAAACTATAATACTAAGAGCCTGCAAGACGATTCTTTGGGTAAAAGTGCTTGCTTTGAAATCCTAACAGGCAAAGTCCAATCCTCGGAACCCATGTAAAGGTGGAAAGAGAACTGTTGCTTCGGGTTTCTACTGTTAGGATAAACACCAGGACCACAAGCATCTTGGAGAGGAAAGGGTTTACTTCAGCTCACAGCCTACAGGACATCACTGAGGAAAGTCAGGGCAGGACTGGAGGCTGGAACCTGGAGGCAGGAACTGACGCAGAGACCATTGAGAAATTCTGCATCTAGATGTTTAGTTTGCTTTCTTACCCATAGCAGAGCCACCAGCCCAGAGATGGCACCACCCGTAGGTATCTGGACCCTCTTATACCAATCATTAGTCAAGAAAATGTCCCATAGGCTTACGTATAGGCCATCTAACAGAGGCATTTTCTCAAATAAAATTCCTTCTTCCCAGACACGTCCAACTTTGTGTCAAGTTGACCATAGCAAACCAAACAAACAAAACCAGGACAGGAACCAATTGCACAAAGTTGTTCATTGGACTCCCACAAGTGTCCACACACCTTACATACACACACAACAGTAATAAACAATACAAATAAATAATAAAACGAAAATATTACACGAGTAATAGTTTAGATAACAAAAATGTAGATATACTCAGATAGGTCAAAAAGAAAGGGGGTGTTATAAAATGGTAAGCGCCAGAGACCACGTCTATCTGTTCCATCACGGAAGAAGACGTTAGATGGGGTGATTTCCAAAAAGACACTGGGAAGTCTGAGGTGTCTACTGAAGGTCCTTTTCTATTCTGTGTTCTCACAAGGTGGATGGGGCAAGCGAGCTCCCTCTGGCCTCTTCACCTCTCCGTTGAGAAACATGGCAGAGGAACCTAGCCTAACTCCGGGTTCTCGGACACTCCTTTACTGCTTTCAACTGTCGACCTCTGTGGGTGCGGATGGTGTCCTGCTCTCCCCCCCTCTCCGGCTGCCTCTGAGTTGCCTGCCCACACTCACCCCAGCACAGATATCAACACAATCTCACTCAGTGAGCTGGGGTGTTAAAGGCCACTCTCAAAACCAGGTTCAGATTTCTGCATGTAGATTCATCCATGTTTAAAAGTCTCAAGTAAGATGTGTAAAGTACAGATTAGAAAAAGATGTGTAGCCAGGCAGTGGTGACACATGCCTTTCATCCCAGCACTCAAGAGGCAGAGGCAGGCAGATCTCTATGAATTCGAGGCCAGCCTGATTTACAAGAGCTAGTTCCAGGACAGGCTTCAAAGCTACAGAGAAACCCTGTCTTGAAAAAAACAAAATACAAAGAAAAAGATGTGTATCTTCTTAACAGCCTAGCAATGTTCCCTTCTGATGTCCTCCCTAATTACAAGTTCTTCGAAGTCCTGCCAAATAGAGATCCAGTTTGTCTGCTATTTACATGTCGCCTGTATAAACACATGCCTCCTATCCCCTAACACACACACACACATTCACACACACACACACATTCACACACACTCACACACATCTCAAGTTGCCACACTTTTCTGAAAGAGAATCTAAGAGGGTATGGGGTGATGTGGGATTACCCTCCATATGCTATAAACATGTTTTATTACCATTGGTTAGTAAATAAGCTACTTCAGCCTATAGCAGGGCAGAATATAGCCAGGATGAAAGAGATACATATAAATAGAGAAAGTAGGAGGAGTCAGAGAGACGCCATGTAGCTGCCGAAGGAGAAAGACACCAGTAGCCAGCCAGAACCTTACTCTTGTGGCAATACATAGATTAATAGAAATGGGTGAGTTTAAGATGTAAGCGTTAGTCAATAAGAAGCCTAAGCTATTGGCCAAGCCGTGTTGTGATGAATACAGTTTCTGTGTGATTATTTCGGGTCTGGGCACCTGGGAACAAACAAGTGGTCCTGGTCTACAGTGAGGTTTACAGGAGCTGTGCCAAAGCTAGGAGGGGCTGCTGCAGGGAAAAGAAAGTCAAGCACTGTGCTGATGGTGACCATGTGGACAGTACACACATGTAACGGACTGTGCATCTGCCATTCCTCCAGGGTTCTTGGAGTCTCTGGATGACTTCTACATTCTTAGCAGTGGCCTGGTACTGCTACAGACCACCAACAGTGTGTATAATAAAACCCTGCTGAAGTTCGTGGTCCCTGAGTCTCTCCTGGCCTGGCAAAGAGTCCGCGTGGCCAACATGATGGCAGTCGGCGGTAAGGACTGGGCAGAGATCTTTTCAAGGTACAACTCTGGTAAGTAGGTCTCTCTGTGTGCTAGCCCTCAGGCACGCGCCTGCGTTAGTGAAGCTTTACCATTGTTAATCAGTTGAGATTATCTACCAGTTAGCCAGGCAAGGCGTTCCATGCTGCCCTTGTGTCTCCCAACGCTGCAGGTACCTACAACAATCAGTACATGGTCCTGGACTTGAAGAAGGTGGCCATCAAGAAAAGCCTTGGCAAAGGCACTCTTTATATCGTGGAGCAAATTCCTACATACGTAGAATATTCGGAACAAACCGATGTTCTAAAAAAAGGTACCGTCTTCCCAGCCTGCTGGGATTGTGCGCCTATCTGTGTGTCCTGGCTTCATTTCTGCTCTTGTGCTACTCGGAGAAAAGCAACTTAGGCGTGTGTGTGGCGGGAATGTGAGTGTGTGTGTGTGTGTGTGTGTATGTGTGAGGGTGTGTGTGTGTGAGGTGACTGTGTGTGGCGGGATGTCAATGTGCGGTGAGTGTGTGTGAGGTGAGTGTGTGTGATGGGGATGTGTGTGTGTGACGGGGATGTGAGTGTGAGGTGAGTGTGTGTGGCAGGGATGTGTGTGAGGTGACTGTGTGACGGGGGTGTGTGTGTGAGGTGAGTGTGTGTGACAGGGGTGAGTGTATGAGTGGGTAATGGGTCTGTCAGTTTTCCTGGTACAGAATTATTGTGTTCGGCACAACAGGTGAGAGGGACCTCACTCTCTCATTGGAGATTGGGATGCCTGTCAGACACATGACCCTCTGACCTCTAACAGCCCTAACAACGATCTCTTCCTTAATTCTGGAGGCTGACTTTTTAGTTCTGCTCAGCACATTTTTTGGATGTTGCTGATTCAGGCAGGAAAAGCAATAATACCAAATTGCTTCTCAACAAACTCTGGAGTGTCCTATAGCAAAGGCCGAGAGTCCAGAATGGGAGAACCGGAATAAGGTTTGAAGTACTGGGCCTTACTAAAAAAGTACCTTACTAAAAAAGTACCTTACTAAAGAAGGTACCATTAGTGGAAGGGGTTATCAGGGGTACTGCCCAGACAGATGAAGTTGAGGGATTGAATCTTGGCTTCCCCAAAATCTCAGGTAAATGACCCATCCTCGCCAACCCTGCTCTCTCCATGTAAGTCAGGGCAACCGTGACATAGACCCACCAATTGCTTGCTCATCGTTTTAAGATCCCAGAGCTCGGAAGCCAAAGTTACCCGGTAGGAAAATGTGATCCAAACTAAACTAATTTAGTAGGAAAAAAAAACCCAAATCTGCAAAAATGGGCTTGAGGGCCTTCTGTCTTTGTCCCCTCACAAAGACATTGCTTATCATGATGGTCATTTGTCTTTGTCTCTGTGACAAATCACATGACAGTGACTTAAAAGAGGCCAGATTTACCTGTGGTGCAGGTCACCAGGTCGAAACTTTAACAACACTTGCCATTTTCCTACAATGACTTTTTTAAAAAGTTTGTTCATTGGTATATACTGTGTTCAAGAATAGACTCATTATGCTATCTTACACAGAGTATACACTGATTGTGTACAACAGTAGACTCAGTATGCCATCTTACACAGATACGTGTTTTTATAGCACCCTCTCCCTCACACCTCCCCACTCCCACCCTCACCAATCCCTTTCCTCTTGCCAATCCATCCCTTCTGCTTTCATGGCTTATTTTTTCTGGGCCTGGGGAAGCCCTGTAGAGTTTAACTAGGGAGATTGACAGTAGCTTGGGTAACTTAGCAATGGCTACACTACAAAAGAAAATGTCCCTAGGGTCCCTTAGACCACTGGTTCTCAAACCTTTCTAAGACAGAGACCCTTTAAGACAGTTCTTCGTGTGGTGGTGACCCCCAACCATAGTTATGTTGTTGCTACTTCATAATTGAAATTGCACTATTCTTATGAATTGTAATGTAAATACCTGGCATGCAACATGCAAATGGGGTCATGACCCACAGGTTGAGAACCACTGCTCTGGCCACCCTTCTGGGTCTTTTCTCTGTTCTGATGTTTGATCTCATAGGGAAGTTTCAGAGAAACATTATACTAAACATTCTGCTGTGAGGATAAAGGCTCAGGAAGAAATAGGAGATGCTCTCAAATAAAGATACTGTGTAGCCATTCTTCAAATTAAAAACAAAAAACAAAAACAAAAACAACTTGGCCTTAGAAAGCAGCTCTGGGATGGAGGCAGTGCTGCTTCTTCTTCTTCTTCTTCTTCTTCTTCTTCTTCTTCTTCTTCTTCTTCTTCTTCTTCTTCTTCTTCTTCTTCTTCTTTTCCTTCTCCTTCTCCTTCTCCTTCTTCTTCTTCTTCTTCTTCAAAAGTTAGTTTATTTAGAGGGTTATGGAAGAAAAGGAGAGAGGGAGAGGGAGGGAGAGGGAGAGAGAGAGAGAACTGCCTCTAAGAGCCAGACGGCAACTGAGCTTGAAATCACACTTCCAAGAGGGGATGATAGTGCTTAAACATCGCCAGGTTGATCTGGGAATACACACACTTCTGTAGTAAATGCTTTTGTCAATGATGAAGCCTTATGAGACTGTGAAGGGCAGCAGAGACTGGTTTTTGAGGGAGCTGTTCCTATAGTATTACCAACAATTGATTTATTGCCGAGACTGGCACTACTGTAAGTACTACAGCTGCTTGAACACATTTAGTGTCTACAACGATCCTTAAAAAGGAAGGATCCACTGTGTGATACTGGATTAGTTACCCTGTTGTGATAAGCACCATGATCAAAAGTCGCTTACACAGGCAGTTGTTTTGGCTGCTGGTTCCAGAGGGAAAGACCACAAAGGCTGGGGAGGCACAGCAGCACGCTGCAGGGGCAGGCAACAGACAGATCACATCCTCAGTCACGGGCAGGAAGCAGACAAAGCAGAGGGGAAGTGGGGCCAGAACATAAATCCTCAAAGGCCACCCCCACTGATGCACTTCCTCCAGTAAGGTTGCATCTCTCAAAGGTCCCATGACTTCCCCAGACAGCACCACCAAGAGGAAGCCAAGTGTTCAAACACACGAGCCTGTGGGGAACATTGCTCGTTCAAAACACCACAGATGCTGGAGAAGTATTGTTGACATTATAAAGATGAAGACATTAGTACAAAGAGGTGAATGTGTCCTTGGTCACATACCTAGTAATGCTGGAGCCAGGCTGTGAGTCCAGGCAGCGTTCCCTTCTGAGTCTCTGTGACTTAGTCCGGCCTAGCAACAAGTCTGTTTTTGCCTGTTAATTTCAGTGCTGTCCTTATCTCCGCTCTTCCTGGTGCAGGCTCTGTGCCCTTGCAAGGTTAAACATTTGCTTTGTTACTGCGGCTTCTCCCTGGATTAGGAGCTTCTCACACAAGAGTTAAAAAAAAGGACAAAGACACACACACACACACACACACACACACACACGGGCCAAAGAACATGGCGGTCGGAAATGACTCCCTGAAGTAGAGCAACACCTAATTTTTAGAATTGAAGTAGACTCACTGTACGTGGTGGAGGACTTCAGAAAGACGGTTCCTCCAAGTCCACCGTGCACTTTGAGCTCATCCACCCACCATACTCCCCCCTTGCTCCCTCCTTCCATCCCTTTCCTGCTAGGCCCCTTCGTTTGTCCATGTTGTCTCCGTTCTACTTTTGAACCTAACTATAAAGCACTCTGGAGGAAATGTGTTTGTCTGAGTCAGGCTCACTCCCCTGCCTGTGACCATCTCCAGACCCACCCTCTTTCCTTTTATTCTTTGTGGCGGAATGTCACACTGTCTGCATTGACTCCTTCATGGCTAGACAATGGGTTGCTTCTACTGGCTACCAACCATAAACAGTAAACATGGATTTACATGCCACGGTGGTGTGTTGACTTAAGATTTAAGATTTCCTATGTGCATTCCCAGGAGCTCCACAGCCGGAGTGTAACGCAAGCTGGTTTGGAGAAACCTCCATATTGGTTTCCATAGTGGCTAGGGACACCCTCATTTTAACTGATGGACCTGTAGGTAATAACCTAGGCCAATGTAAGCTGCGATGTTCCTAGAATTGTGCCACGTGTCTACTGCTTAGTGACTTGATGTGCAAATTTTGGATGACAATGGCTACCGTCCTGAAAGTTAACAGCCTACTGGAATGGGAAAGACAACACCCCACCCCATCCCCACTCATTATAGGCACTCCCTTTGCTTCCGTTCTCACAAAAGGAAGAAGTGGGGTGAGGTGCCTGAGACCTCAGCTTTCATCCAGGAACTTAGCTAGAACTGGCGTTTTCTGATGTCAGCGCTGTGTTTCCGTCAGTGCAATTAGTGTCTGCTGTCCTCAGCGGGCAACAGGCTCACCACAGGGACGTCAGGCTGCTCCCCAGAATACTACATTATCCTTCGCTTTTTCTGCTCCATAGAGAATAATGCTATTATCTGCATTCTAGATTGCGCTCCTAACTCAGGGTGAGAATCAAAAACCTCTCTGACTCTTCTTCCCCACAGTAACCTAGAAGCACTCCACCTCGGGGAGTTTAGAGGGACCCCACTGGTCGGCAGGTTTCTGTTCTCAGCTCCAATTCCCATGCCGCTTCATTGTAATTACACACGTGGCGGGTCTCAAATATACTATTATTCACTAACCTCCGCGTTTTGTTTCCCTTCTCGTCCCGTCTCCCTCTCTCTGTTCAACCCCATCTTTCGCTTCCGTTCCATATCAGGATACTGGCCTTCCTACAACATCCCTTTCCATGAAAAGATCTACAACTGGAGTGGCTACCCGCTGCTGGTTCAGAAGCTTGGTTTGGACTACTCTTATGACTTAGCTCCACGAGCCAAAATCTTCAGGCGCGACCAAGGGAGAGTGATTGATGTGGCTTCCATGAAATACATCATGCGATACAATAGTACGTAACACATTTCTCAAGAGCCATTCTTCAAGACTCCTTTCCTTCCCCCGCAGAATAACCTGTGCAAGTTGATCATCTTGTTCTAGAAGGAATTATAGGAAGTTATCCGTTCCGTATTCAGGATACTGTTCATGCTGTACACACAGTGCTGAACAAATAGAACATTTGCCTCCTTTATAAAATCCCAGAGAACGTTTGAAAGGCTGGCAGTGTGGCCCAGCAGAGAAAGGCACTTGCTGCCAGGCCTATTAGCCTGAGTTCGACGCCCTAGTCCTTGACAGTGGAAGAAGAGGATTCCCATAGTTTGTCTTCCGACCACCACAGGCACGCCATGACATGCTTATGTGCATACACACATGTAAGCAGACACAAATTCAATTCTTGGTCCTGGCTTCTTCTTGTAAATGTTGGAATTGTGGGTATATATAACCACACCTGGCTCTACAGACTTTTTTTTTTACCTGACCGCCCCCCTCCCACCAAGAAAGTTGCATGGAAAACATGAAGGAAATGATCCAAGTAGGGAGGGCCCCTTTCCTTAACACCTCTCGACCTCCTGCCAGCAGAATCCCCAAGGACAAAAGCAGCTAAAATACTCATAAATGCTTTCTTTTGATGAAGACTCTCCAAGGCTAATTTGTTTATCATCTGCTGGGAAATGGTGACGCACACGTATCTAATCTCTTCTTCTGCTCTCCCTGGGGGGTGGTGCTTGCCTTGGCCTGGTGCAGCTAGGCCTGGAGCAAAGGATTTGCAGCTTGTCATTCCCTGGAGCAAGCCTAGAGCAATGCCTGTACTGGGAAGCAGGTTTGGGTTTCTAATGCCCAAACCTGAAAAGACACCGTGATCATGGCAGCACTTATAAAGGAAAACATTTAATAGGATGGCTTACAGTTCAGAGGTTCAGTCCATTATCATCATGGTGTGGAGCACGGTGTGCAGGCAGACACGGTACTGGATAAGTAGCTGAGAGTCTCCATCTTGCAGACAACAGGAAGTGGTCTCCATGTCACACTAGGGAAGCCTGAGCAAGAGAGACCTCAAAGCCCACCCCAACAGTGATACACTTCTTCCTACTTCACACCTCCTAATAATGTTGCTTCCTTTGGGGGCCATTCTCTCTTAAACCACCACAGCGGGGGCACTCTGTCAAACACAATCTTTAATGATTCAGGCATGAATAGATCCAAACTCTTACTTTGGATAAGTAGATCTCAGAATAACCGACACCTGTTCTTTCCCCATTGTTGTGTCTCCTAGATTATAAGGAGGACCCCTACAGTAAAGGTGATCCCTGCAATACCATCTGCTGTCGTGAGGACCTGAATGAAGCCAGTCCCAGCCCTGGAGGTTGCTATGACACCAAGGTAACTCACATACCTTACTTTCCAATTTACTTCTAATGAGGAGTTAGGCTAGAGACAGAGATTTTTTTTGTGGCATAAAGCCCGGTGTCTTTAAACATATATGAAATTCAGGAAGCAGACTGTTCCTATAGATAACAGAATTTACCTTATATAGTGAAGGATCAATCTTCAACACCTTCACCTTGTCTAGAAGAGCTCTTAGTTATTTATAAATGTATTCATAGGGATGGAGAGATGTTTTAGAGAACTGACTGCTCTTTCAGGGGTCCAAGATTTGATTCCCTGAACTGACATGCTGCCTAAGAACCATCTGAACTCCATTTCTGAAGTATCCAACGCCCTCTTCTGGCTTCCAATGGCACTGCATGCGTGTAGTGCTCATATACACTGGAAGACAAAATATTCGTACACATAAATATTTTAAAATTCATTTTAAAATGTGTACAATCAGCATAGTAACATTTTATGATGGCTCTAAATCCAAAGAACCATCTTACTGAGAGTACTGTGGTTCTATATTACACATGAATTAAGGAATATGTTTTAGCCCAGTTGGCCAAAGCACTTCAGGTTTTTGCAGCAAAATGAAGCTTGCTCACGTGGCCAATAACAAAAGCCAGCTAACAGCATGTTGATAGACGGCCACCATGGAAGGACCTAAATCACCAGAGACCCAAGGAAGGTTACAAGCTTGGCCGTTTTCTTGAGAGCAGGCTGCTCCAGACTTTCCCATACATAAGCTGGCCTTTTAGCTTCAAGATGCAGCTTTCATCTCTTTGACTGGAGAAGCTCCCACACCACTTACACTTGCCTTCACTGTCAGCCATCCTTCACGGGGGAGATGCTTTTCAAGTCTGAGTCCTAGCTCTCCCTTCCAGCCAGGTGTGTGAAGGCAAGACTTCAGTTCTAAGGATGTTTCATGCTGTGCAACTCAGGTAATAAAGAGGAAAGTGGCACCAGGGAGCCCCAACATGTGTTGTTTCTTTTCCATGGTAGTCACACTTTCAAGAGGAAAGTGTATGGGAAGTACTGCATTTGTCTCAGACAGCATGCAGAAAACCGTCTCTGTTACCCTGTATGGAAGAACCAAAGTCAAGCTGCCATCTGCCAGATGTTGTTGCCCGAATAAGCTTAACATACATTGTCTTCCAGCTACTTCAGACGCATCGCCTTCTTTCCCCTCTAAGGCTAGATATGCTTCCATCCCTGAGTCGGGTTCTGGAGTGCCCTTTGGGTGTGGCTCATCCTTTAGAACCCTTGTTGCTGCCCTAATTAACAGCAGCCTCTGCTGGCTTTAGGCCTTTGTTACTCCCAGTAATTCGTGCTTTGGTCTAGGAAGAACGGGCACGAGTCCACTTTCTGAAGAAGAAAACCGAGTCATGGAAACACTAAAGCGATCTCAATGAACCTTGCGGGGTTACAGTTCTGAACTGGCCATCCCACTGCGCAGCTTCTGTCCACGCTGCTCTCCTAGTAACTCCCATTTGGATGCTAAATGGCCACAGAAGCACGTGTCACAGAAGGGATGCAGCTCCCAGGAAACTGTCTCAGAGGCTTGCAGTGTGCCCTTGAGTAGGGAGACGAGGACCACACAAGCTCCAGATGGTCTTTTAAAATGTTGTCCTCTTTTTTCCAGGTGGCAGATATCTTCCTTGCGTATAAGTATGCAGCCTATGCCATTAGTGGTCCCACAGTACAAGGTGGCCTTCCTGCCTTTAACTGGAATCGGTTCAACAAAACTCTTCATGCGGGGATGCCAGAAGTCTATGACTTCGATTTTGTTACCATGAAACCAATTTTGACACAGTGAGGGTGGAGGAGGAAAAGGAAGCTGTGAATACGACTCCAAAGGCACTATATTTAGCTCTATTTTCCCATCTGTACATTTAATAAAAAAAAATATTAAATTCCCTTCCATTTCTCAGATTTTTGGCTTTTTACAGCAAAACCATTTCCTGCAGGGTGGAGAGCGAAATGAACACACATGAAAGGACAGCAGAACCCATCCTCCCCTCCTCTGCCTGCAGATGCCGAACACAGCCCATGGTATAACCAAGCTCTAACCAACTGAGCTTGATTGTAAGATGAGGGTCGTTTTCAGGCAGAAGCCATCTTAAGACACCTGAACCTCCCGTGTTTGTTCTCCTTCCCGTTGGCCAATGCCAACGGCAAAGCCCAAACAGGAGGCACTGTGACCCCGTTACCCTGTTGGTGCCGCTGCTAACCAGGCAGCGGGTCTACAGAGCAACTTCTTCAAAGCTAGGGAGTAACGTGGGGGTGGAGTGCCAGGGAACTGCCAAACAAGTTGATTAAGACACACTGAACAGTGAGCACACACACACACACACACACACACACACACACACGCCGGGAACTCTCGGAATGAACTGGAGTACTCAGAATGTTAAAAACCCAATCATTTATTTCAGAGTACAAATTTCAGGCTTTCTGGACAAATCCCACTGCAGTTAACATGTACACAGACAGCATTCTACTATACATTTAGGAAAGAAAATGAAAACTTTCAAAACCTAATGGAAAATAGAGCAACTTGCTACAGCCCAGTTAATGAGACCTCAGGAAGGCCTTACATCATTTTATTATTTACACATTCAACCGCAATGAACAAAAATCAGATTGCAAGTTGTCCTGCGAGGGGCTTATTTTTACATTTATGTTTGAAATTGCTGATAAAATTCTCAAGCTAGGATTCCCAGGTGTTTGATTGCTTAATTCTCTTATTTACAAAAGGAAAGGGGGGGGGGAGAGGAAATTCATTTAAATATTTAAATGATAGGTACTCAGTTGTCTCTACATAAAAAAAAAAACACAAAAATAAAAGTTCGAACATGATAAAATCATTTGAAGATGAGAGCGGTGTCTCTTCAGCTACTCCATTTCAGCTGGCTCAAGGGGATGAGGTTGAAGAATTTGGTAAGCCTCCTACACTGACAAACTCATGGTTACTGTTCTAATTTTTTGTGTGCCCCTGAAATATTTCTTTGAAGCCATTTGCCCAGAAAATAATTAAGGTAGGCAGAATCCCACAATTGCCCAGTTATCACCTATGCACAAGGACATGTGTATTTCCATGAGAACCAAACATGTGACCCAACCAGAGGGAAGCAGGAAAAAATATAATGAAGATACTGAATGGCCTAAGGCCGAGTCAGGGACTTGGAAGGCTGTCTTTGTGGTCCTTACAGGGTGAGAGAGCAGCATCTGGAAGTGAGAAGATGCCACACCCAGCATTTTAAATCCTACACAGTACTGGGAAACTCACGGGAAGTGAAATGTCTCCAGGCACTGACACGAAGTGGTAATTTGGAAGATGTTTAACACAATGCAGCAGGCAACAAGAACATCCATCCGGCGTGTAAGGAAAGCGGCAGAGGTGTGCCTGAAACCCCTGAGACACACGTGTTTTTAATGTATCCCTTTCTGGCACATGGGGGGGAGGGGTCATGGAGGACACCTCTCTGTGAGGTGAATGGTGCCCAGCCAAGTATTTCCAAGCAAGAAAACTCTCGTTTCTTTCATAAAGTCACGCTTCACTGCACAATACAAAGTATCCTACAGTTTAAAACTTGAGCCTAGACAAACAGGGCCAGTCACCTTGTCAAGTTAACAGTCACAACCGAGGCTGTCTTTGTATGCCAACAGCAAGGACATACATGAAAGAGGTGTGCTCATGCTTAAAACGGGGTGGAAAGTACCGACACAGCAGAGTAACAAACATTACTATTCCCGGTCATTCCCGTACAAACACCTGACACCTCAGGATGGCACTTGAGAAGTTTCCAGGATTCCCGGCGAGGCAATACTTACCAGTATTGTCAGGCTAAAAATGGAGCAAACATGAATCCCCCAAATGGGACAACTGAGCTTATCTGTGACACTTTGAGCAGGAGGCAACAGAGAGCCATGGAACATGTACTGCTCCTAAATCCCGAGGGCGCTGGGGCCTGTGGCTGCTTCCATTCTCCCCCACAGACAGCCAGAGAGAAAGCCAATGCCCATCTGCCCCACAGAAAAAAGCCTAGCACACGCCAGGAAACCCAAGGTGGCTGCTGCCTGAAGCCTAGTGGCAGGTCATCTGAGGAGACTGTATCCAAAAGAGTTCTCCCTCAACAATGACAGTCTCTCTTCATACCTGATTTCCAATCTGGAGGAAAGTTACATCAGAGCTATTAGTTAAGATTTTTTTTTTTTTTTTGACAAAAATCCCCAAGTTGAAGCCAAAACAACAAAATATAGTAATCCTACTGGGCTTTCTTCACCTAATTATATAACACTATGGAAACATTTAAAAAAGAACAAGAGAAAAAATGATTAGTGAATATAAACAAAAATATTCACCCGGGAAACTTCCATTGGCTATTGGGCAGACCAGCCAGTAAAACCAATTTTGTGTATGTTTTTCTAGACATAGACAGGAGTGATGTTGAGAACACCAACCCTGTGCCTCCCACAACACGTGATGAACGAACATGCTGGTACAGAGAGGCGATCTTGCATAAGAAATCATTTCCTCCTTCCCAAATTCTCACTGCCTAACACCGGCAACACTTCATCATGATCACAAATCTGAGTCCTTGCTGCACAGCAGCAGGCTACGCTGAACTTGGGGGAAAATGACTTGCAAGTGGTCTTTTTTTCTGGGAGTGGAAGGTTAGGAGCATTTACACTTTGGCAACTGCAGGCTTCCTTCATTAACCAAAATGTTCATGCACACTGAAGATGACAGAGCAAAGCCAGGGAGAAGTCACCAAAGACCCTGTTGTCACAACCAGACGACTCCTGCTGTCAGCCACCCAAGGCACGAATACACAACGGGACTGGAGCTCCCCACTTCCAATGCCAGCAAAAGAGAATGACTGATGAAGGCAGAAGTATGTCTTAAAAATGCTGTAGGAGGAAAGAGCTGGAAAGTGACTGCACAAATCCCACAATGCCTCGTTCACCCTTGCCCTCCCTCGTCTGCAACTCTAATGCGCCTGGCTGACCCCCTGGGCGTGCACAGGTAAGCCTGCACCTGTCATCTTTGTGGAGGAAAGAGAATCAATGCACTGACTGGATCTAGGAGCTATGTGAAATGACCCAAAAAAACACGCTTCTAAGTTCTATCCAAAGTTGACGAGATCAGACAGTACTGGACACCACCACTCGAAGTGAAGGCTAAAGCAGGAAGGGTCTCTCTCGGAGAATTAGGAGATCTGAGCTCCAGCTCTTTCGTGAGCATTTACTGTCTGGGAAAGGACACTCTCCATAAGTGATGAGATGAACCACAACTTCCTGCAGATTCTCTAACAATACAACATAGACATTAAATTTTCTTAAACAACATGGTCTATTTTATGCAGCTAAATAATGGGCAAAATTAAAAGAAAACAGGAAGTCAAATTTTTGGATTTTGTGATACAGTGATGTTATAAAAGATGAGGAAAACACACCCTACACAACTCGGTTCTAAAATTGCATAAAGGGTGTGGTATCCTTGGTGGCAATGAATAAATGAAAGCTGAGAGAGAAGAAACAATGACAGGCATGTGGTCTATGTATTTCTGTAGCTTCTAAGGCACAACACAAATGGAGAAGCCAGATTTGGGACTTGGGGTACAGATACAAAATTTTTTACCTAATCAGTAACACAGAAGAAATCAAAGAAATTATGGAAAGAATACCCCTTCTGTTAAAATTCATCTGCTTTAAGCTAAATATTTTTTTCTTTTCATTTCTTTGGACTTTGTTTCGAGTCTTTGATCTTCTAGACCCCCCCCCCAAAGGTAGAAGCAGGCCAGCAACCCCTCAGATTCTTTATCTATCGTTTCCCACCAGAAGAAAGGGAAATATGAGTGAAAATGGGAACTGCACTGTGATAAACACACGCCCAGAAATTTAAAGCTTGAAAGAAAGAAAGAAAGAAAGAAAGAAAGAAAGAAAGAAAGAAAGAAAAGAAAAGAAAGAAGACACATGAACACCCATACAAATTCCCCAGCCTCATAACTAAAGCAAGGAACAATTTACATTTGAAACCCCTGAAGCTTGACTTGTTCAGGGGAAGACTTGCGTTACCGGCTGAATTTATTATACTTCAGTTATAAACAAACATAGTGTGTACACTCATCTGTCCAAGAGATCTTGCACAAGGTGGATTTTACATTAAATTTCATGCACAAGATTAAAAACAAGCCCAAAATGTGGAACTTTGAAAAGAGGAAGCTGAAGGCTCCAAGGTCTAACTGTTCTGGGAGGAAGAGATCACGTCCGTGGACTGAGGGTCACAGAAAGGCCCAAAACGTCCATAAATGTCCTTGGCGCGCACCGCAAAGTAGTACTTGCTGCCAGACACGAACTGAGTAAGAGTGCAAGCCATTGGCAAAGGAAGGGCTTTGACTTCGCCAATCTTTTTCCACTGAGAGGGCACAGTGGCACTGGGTTCCTCGTGGTAAGCATAGAGATGGTAGCTGTCAACAGAAGCGCAGCTCCGATCCACTTCCAGGACACTCCACGACAGCACGATGCCATTCTGACTCTGGACTCGTGCTAACTTCAAGTGTGGTTTCTGAGGCAGGGAAGTGCTGGCAGCTTCTGGGGGCAGACGCTGAGGCTGTGGGGCTTCCGGTAAGGGAGCTGGATGCATAGGGCGTGGGGGCTCCTAAGAAAGAGACATTGTATTGATTTCTAATGATTATAATTATACAACCATTTTAGAAGATATTTTAGCGATCATAGAGACAATATCTCAAATTAAGAACTCTGAAAACCACCCAACACCACATCCAATTTTGGCAATTCTGTTCAGTGATATACAACAAATCATGCTCCAGACTATGGTGCTGAACTTGCTCAACTATATTTCCTAGGCAGAAAACACTAAGTTTTCATGGACAACAACAATCACTGAAGAGA